GCAGAGTTATTTAAATGGTTTGGCGAAATTTCTGTCAGATCCTGCCGGTGGGACCGCCGACCCCAGAGGAATTTAATATTCTAATCTAATCAGTTAACGGTTAATGTTCGGTTAACGAACGGCGGTTGTCGGTTGGGAAAATTAATCGAAATGAGCATCCCTAGTCGTAAGTGTCTGATGAAATTAAAACCTCTAAATCATGAATTTTGTTTCTAATACTCCTAGCATTTAGACCGCAAAGGGTAGGCCTTTTACAGTGCCTACTTTTAATATTAATTGCGGCTTTCCGTCTCCCCCCACCTATATTCTTAACTAACCTCCCTGCCCCTCCAGTCCCTAGTTTAAACATTCCTCATCTACTCTACATATACGCCTCCCCAATACACTGGTTCCCCTCTGGTTCAGATGCAACCCGTTTGGCTTGAACAGGTCCCACCTGTTCCAGAAGGTCTTCCAGTGCCCCATAAACCTAAATCCCTCTTTCCTACACCACCATTTTAGCCACGCATTTAATCCCCTTATCTCAGCTAACTTAGCCTGGCTTGCACGTGGCATGGGAAGTATTCCAGAGAATACCACCATGGATGTTCTGCTTCTAAGCTTATCTGCCACTTCTATAAATTTATCCTGCAGAACAGCCCTCCTGCCCTTACCTATGTCATTGGTGCCAACATGCACCATCACAACTAGATCCACCCCGGTTGGGGCCAAAAGCCTGTCCACACGATTCGGAAGGTCCCCTACCTGGGCACCAGGCAGGCAAGACACCGTACGTGACCCTCTATCACGGGTGCACACATAACTATCTACACCTGTAATAATTGAATCCCCTACTACCACAACCTCCCTCCTCCTGGGGGTAGGCGGCTCCTTGGTGCCCAAGGGCCCACTTGCCTCCCCAGTCTCTTCCGGCTCTAAAGCTGGAAGCACCTGAAAGCGGTTAGACACGTCACTTCAGGTGATGCCGCCTCTGTAAACTGTGTATGCCCTTTCTTATGTCTATGACATACGGTCACCCAGCTCTCTCAACCTACCTGTTCTTCATCCCCCCTCCTCCCCGCTTGTTACGTACACACTGTTTCCCTAAAAGGGGTATTAACTCTCTCCTTTAACTCATTGTTGTGTTTGATGAGAGCCAGTTGCTCCTCGAGGTCACGAACCTTGACCATGAGTGAGTCCACTAACATCGCTCGCAGATGAAGTCCGTCTGGACGCAAACATCCAGAAGGGCAAACGCAACACTGAGCTGGCCCCATAATTACCTAACTCGCTATGACCCCGTCCTTTACTCCCAGCCCAGTATATTAATATATCTTATTTAAATCTTTAGTTGATCTAATTAACGTATAGTTGAAACAATAAAGTGCTGAGTACAATAAAACAATAAATTTAACACTTCCGTTAAAACTGAACTTTTAAAATTATCCGACAGCATCAGCGATAACAACCTTTGAAATTAAACTTTTAAAATAACCAAATTAACAATTACCTACACGAGACGAATTTCATGCTGAACCACGTTTAACCCTTGGGAGTCGGTGGACCCGCCGGCGGGGACACTTGCAATTTTTTCTGGTAAAAGTGAAATGAACTTAAAATGTGTCGTCATGTTTGATGTTACACATAAGTGTAGTACATCATTTTAATCTGTAAATGGTCTACTTTTATTC